TTTGTACTTGCTACTTTCCTTCTGGCTGTCTTTATTCCAGTGGGAATCCTCATGTAAATCTTTCTTGGGGAATCCAAGAACTGAGCCTTCCAATCAAACCTCCATTTTCCCACCTAACAACACACCCGGTCTCCTCCTCCTCTTTTAAGGATGATCCAGAAGACTTCCACAGCACCTCATTCTCCTGGTGTCCCTTCCCTGTCCCTGACCACACCTGCTTTGGGTCCTTTGCTGCTTTTTCCTTATCTAGGCCTCTAAAGTGTGTGTCCTGGGGCTCGATACAATGTTTTCCATCCATGCAACTTTATTGGTGAACTCTTTATACTTCACGACTTTAAAGCCCATCTATAAACATTAGAGGCAGAGTTACATAGACCCCCTTCTCCCTACACCCTTTGCCCCTGCCCACTCTGCCCTCAGGCTGCCCCAGTACCTAGCAGGCCAGGTACCTTGGACTATTTCTTGCCTTCCTTTCCCCATCAGGCCAGGCACCCAGTTCTGTGTTCCCTGTTGACCACAGCTCCTCTCTTCCCAGGGGCTCCGCCACCCAGCTCTGGTTAGGCCCACTTGGGCCCGAAGCATGTCCTAGCCGCTGGGCACAGGGTTCTCTCCACAAGTAGCAGGGTGTATGTCAGGTAACTCCTGAGCAGTCTGACTTACTGAGGGGATGCTGGGTGAGGTGTGAGTGGCAGCAGGTTGTGACAGTGGAAGCGCGCAGGTACACTTTGAGAGGTACACGTGCGACGGGTAAAGCATGCAGCGGTATTCACCGCGAGGAACGCTGCCTGTCCTGGCCAAAGAACGTGCGGGTAAAGCCTTTAAAACCATTAACCCAGCGTGACGGAGGAAGAGAGCCCAGGAGGCAGGGCTTAATCCCCATTGGTCAGATAGGACCCTGGGGGCGGGACTACGCATGCTCAGGCAACCTCGGCGGGACTGAGTGGCCTTGAGGTAAAACCAGAGACTCCCCAAGTGGGGCGCGGGAGCTGTTCTCAGAGGTGGAGGCGGGAGGGGTTTGGCCAAGGAGGGCAGGGAGGAGGATGGGGTGAAGGTGGGGATTCGGAGAGCCGTACTGGGCCTTGCATATAGGTTCGAGATTTCTGGGGACGTCGAGGAGTTTCTCGGGATGGTGGCTTGTCCAACTTGATTCTTGTCCTGGAATTCCTAGCCATTTATTCTTTCTCTGTGACGGAAGACCGCTCTGGCTCTTCAAGACTTTCTGTGCTCATCTTTTTTTTTTTTTTTTTTTAATGTTTTATTTATTTCTGAGAGAGAGACAGACAGACAGGATGAGCAGGGAAGGGTCAGAGAGAGAGGGAGATACAGAATCTGAAACAGCCTTCAGGCTCTGAGCTAGCTGTCAGCACAGAGCCCGACGCGGGACCCGAACCCACGAACCTTGAGATCATGACCGCAACCGAAGTCTGACGCATAACCGACTGAGCCACCCAGGCGCCCCTTTGTGCTCATCTTTGGAGAGTTGATTTTGTCAGATTCCCGGGTGTCCACAGTCTCTCATCCCGAGTCTGGGATTAGGAGACGCAAGGAAGAGAATCGGCCCAGAAAGTCATAGTGAACAGGAACCCGGGGAAACTGACTGGGATTTGCCTTATAATTATACAGTATCCCTTGGAGGCCTTTGGAAAGGACCAGAGTGTGTCTCTCTTTGAAAATAGACTGAAGATGAGAGCAAATGGCCCTAAGAGGTTTGGGAGGGCCTGGTTGAGGCCCAAAGGGCCAGAAAGTCTGAGGGAGAGAACTGGTTTTTTTCTGTGACCGAGTGTAAGAGCCAGAAGAGCACATGGAGGACCTTACACTGTGGTCTCAGGAGTCTCTGTTGTTGAAGACGGGGCCAGATGGTGGGGGTGGTGTGTTTCCCCTTAGGGCATTCTCTTTAACCCATTTGTTCCTCCCTTGTCAAGGCCCTTTCTAGGGAGGCAGTCATAGTCCTTGCAGGCGCTTAAGCCTTTCCTCTGCTTTTATGCTTCTTCTAATAGGATTGAGGCATGAGAGGGAGAGAGAAGCCTGCCCTTGGAAGTTTGTAATGTGTGCATTTCAGTTTTCATTTACCTAGTGTCCTACCTAAAAATGACTACCTCTTCATCTAGTGTGCTGGCATCTACAAGGATAGGTTTAGGCAGATGGGATTTCTGCCATCTGGGAAAGCCTATCATAGGTAGCATGGTGACAAGTAAGTGCATAGAGAAGAGATAAACCTGAGGCTGAGCACATCAAGCCCCATGGGGTCCTTAGACATAGGCAAGGATGCAACCATGGGATTTTTTCAATATTTAAGAAACCTCGTAGGAGTAAGTTAGGTCTGGAACCCGCAGCAGGGTAGTTAGTCTAACCCCCAAGCCACATACTGCATAGATTATTCTCTTTTCTCAGCATAAACAGAAGTGGAAGATGAAAGAGAATTTATCATTCTAGATGTAATAATAACCGTCTTGTAGTGATGTGTATAAAATTGTTTAGATTCTAAATCAAGACTCTAGAAGGAAGAATTTCCAATGTGTGGATGGGAGAAAAAGACTCAGACTATCAAAGAAATAAGTAAACATAAGAGTCAGGAATCCTACATTTACCTCAATTCTTCCTCTTTATTAAAGTATGTAATGAATCTGTGCTGATATAGGGGTTTAAAATGTAATAATTGAGACATCATACATATTTTTAAATTTGTGGATACTTGGAAAGTTTTACTCCTTGCCCTAATTTAGTTTTCATTTAAAAAAAAAACCAACTCATTTAACAGTAAATATTTTCTGGGCACCTCTTATGTGTCAGGCACAATTTCTAGAGTCTGAGGATATAGCAGAGAACAGAACACACAAAAATACCTATCCTCAAAGAGCTTAACATTATATTCTTGTAGGCTTGGGTGTGTATGCTGAGACAGACAAAACAAGATACATTTTAAAAATATATAGTGTATTAGAATAATGGCATGCTGAGGAGAAAAAGCAGAGAAATATTGATTATTGAGGTGCTCCAGTTTTGAATAATTTGCAAGAACACCCTGGAAGTGGTGGAGGTGGTTTGGCCTATTATGCTGATAATCTAAAGGAGGAGTGAAGCAAGTGGAGAAAACAGTATGGGAAAGGGCCTGAAGCTGATTGAGTGCCCAGCAAGGGAGAGCAACAGTGAGGAGCCCCATAAGAAATGTGGAATGGATTGTAGATGGGAAAAAAGCAAGGCTAAGGAAAGATTGCAGAGACACCAGAGATAATCATGGAAATTCTGGCTTGTATTAGAGTAAGGTAGGAACAGTGGAGAGTTTCAACAGAGGAATAACATGATCTGACTTAAGGTTAGAGGAACTCTGAATCTTAAAGTTGTCAGATTTAGCAAATAAAAATACAGGACACCAAGTTAAATGTGAATTTCAGGTAGTACAGGACACACTTGTACTAATGTATATATATCATATATATAATATATATGCACAATATATATTATATGTATATTATAAAATATACAAGTGTGTCCTGTGCAATATTTGGGAAGTTCAAATTTAACTGGGCATCCTATATTTTATCTGGTAAACCTATAGAGGAAGGAATGAAAAGTGAACAGATTCTGGACATGTTTAAAAGAATTAATCATAGTATTTGCTGACAGATTGGATGTGAGAAGAGAGTCAAAGAGGACTCTTAGATTTTGGCCTGAGCAATTAGAAAGATAGAATTATCATTAACTGGAATGGGAAGACTGTAGGTGGAGAATGTTTTGGGGAAAAAATGATCTTGGTTTTGGATGTGTTGGTTTGAGGTACTTACTAGTCACCCAAGTAATGAGGTCAGGCCAGCACTTGAATATAGGAGTCTGAAGTTCAGGAGAGGGGTCTGGGCTGGAGGTAAAAACTTGGGTGTTGTCAGCTAATATAGGCATTTATCCATTCATATATTAACTTTTTATTGTGGAAAATTTAAAACATATAAGAGTAGAAATCATTGGATGAATGAATGCCAATGTACCCATCACCTAGCTTCAACAATTATCAACCTAGGGAAAGTCTGTACCCCTTTTCCGGTCCCCTCATCCATCTCCATTATTTTAAAGCAAAGCAAAACTTTTAAAGATTATTTTATTCATTTAAAATTTATGTATGTATAAAAGATAAGGACTATGTTTTTATCATAACCACAATATCATTACCATACCAAGAAATTGTAAAGTAACAATTTCTTAATATAATTAAGTAGCTAGCCAATGTTTAAATTTTCTTAATTGCTTTCTTATAATTCAGGATCTAAACACATTGTATTTGGTTGGTGTGGTTCATAAATCTCTTTTAATTTATAGTCTCCCATCTCTCTTTTTTTTCCTGTCTCTTATGCTTTAAAAGAATATGATCATTGGGGTGCCTGGGTGGCTTAGTCGGTTAAGCGTCCGACTTTCGCTTAGGTCATGATCTCGTGGTTTTTGGGTTCGAGCCCCTTTTTTGGCTCTGTGCTGTCTGCCAGCTCAGAGCCTGGAGCCTGTTTCAGTCTGTGACTCCCTCTCTCTCTGACCCTCCCCTGCTCATGCTGTCTCTCTCTCTCTCTCTCTCTCCTAGAAATTTAAAAAAAAAAAATTAAAAAAAAAAAAGAATATGATCATTTAAACTGTAGAATTAACCACTCTGGATTTTGGTGATTGCACTCCACTGGTTCTGTTTAACTACTGTATTTTCTGTGTACTGGTCCTTACATCTAGAAGGTTAGTTAGATTAAGGCTCAATATTTTTGGCAAGTATACTTACTTCTTTGGTAATGCTTGGCACCTCCTGTTGAACCTCATCAAGAGGTTCATACTAGGGCTGGTGTCTATCTTTGTGAATAAAAGATCAATTGAGGGGTTTAGGTTTTCAGCCTGATCTATTCATTATAAAGTTTCCTATCAGCCTTTCACTTCATGGTTTAAACAGCCATTTATGATAATTTTCTAGACCCATTATTTTCTTTGGAACTCCAAAATGGTAATAATCTAATTGTACCATCCATTCTGTGTTTATTAGCTGGAATACTTCTATAAAGAAGAACTTTCTCACATCTATATGTGAGGTGCATGTATTCTAGGAAGGTAAGATGAATGATTCTTTTGTCTACCCTACCAGCTTTCAAAATAATAAATTGGTTGCCTATCCTCCAAAGTGACTGATGAGGATTATATATTTATAAATTTATAACTATATAAATTTAACAGAGGAAGTCCTTTAAGCTAGCTCTCCAATAATCTTTGGCCCTGGTAGTCTTTGATAATTTCCTTGTTCTCTGGGACAAGATGTTCCGGGCTCAAGTTGTACATTTTCTGCCCCAGACCTTTTAGTGGTGAATGGTATTTCAAGACCAAAAGCTTGGTGCTAGGGTTGTACATCAAGAATTACTAATAATTTTCTATTTATTTCAGACCTAGGATTATAGGGTTTTTGCTTGACTTTATTTTATGTTTCTGCCTCTTTTCTCATACACTGAAAATTTTTGTTCCTGATGACATTAATATATTATTGATTTGTTGTATTCTGATAGAGATTACATGTACATATGTATATGTATATATACATATTATATGTATGCATATATATATATATATATATACACTATGATTACTGAAAACAAATACACAAATTCCTTTACAATTCATTTTTTCCTTAGGTTATACTTCACTAGAGATGTAGTATCAAATTATCATATTTAGAAGCACAGGAAATAGACTCTTCCTGTGAGGCTCAATAACCAGCTTGTATGTTCCATTTTGCTCCTTTGTAGGAATTGCTTTGTTTTTCCCATTTTTTATTTGATTTTGTTTTATAACTATGTGGCTTTGTATACTTACAGTATTTACATTATTCTAAAGTTGAAACTGTAGGGGCGCCTGGGTGGCTTAGTCGGTTAAGCATCCGACTTTCGCTTAGGTCATGATCTCGCGGTTCGTGGGTTCGAGCCCCGCATCGGGCTCTGTGCTGACTGCCAGCTCAGAGCCTGGAGCCTGTTTCAGTCTGTGACTCCCTCTCTCTCTGACCCTCCCCTGCTCACGCTGTCTCTCTCTCTCTCTCTCCTAGAAATAAATAAAACATTAAAAAAAAAATAAAGTTGAAACTGTAAAAACTGCTATATTTGGAGAAGTCTAGCTTTCATTTCTAGCCTTTCCACCCTATTTGTACACTCCAAGGTAAACATTTTTGTTGGTTTTCAATTTATCTATTTTTCTTCTGTCTGTCTTCTTCCTTGCCTTTCTTCTTTCCTTACTTAAAAAAAAAAGCACATGCTATGTGTGTATATTTATTTATATTCATGTTCCTTTGACATTTTTTGGATGAAATATTACATACCGCATACACTGTTCTTCACCTTGCCTTTTGTTTTTGTGTGTGTGTGTATGCTCAGCAATATATCTTGGAGGTCACTCTCAGAGTATATTGAAGTATATCTTATATATATATATATAAGAGTATATATTCCTTTTAACAGTTCCATAAAACTCCGTTGTATGAATATACCATAGTTTGACCAACTGATGGACATTGGGTTGTTTATGGTCTTGCTGTTATGATGGTATTGTATTGAAGAGCCATGTGTATATATAAATTTCTATTTCTGCCAAGTATTATTGGGATATATCCCAATCCTTAAAAGTAGGATTGCTGGATTAAACAGTAAATACATTTGTAAATGTTCTTGATAACGACAAATTCTCCTCCATAGAGGCCTTCCCAACAGAAGTGCATGAAAGTGCCTCTTTCCTCCCAGCCTCAGTAATAGAGTACATTATTATACTTGCATTTTTACCACCTTTATAGCAAAGAAAATAATCTCTATGATTAACAAAAAATTTTTTTTAAATGTTTATTTATTTCTAGGAGACAGAGAGAGAGACAGCATGAGCAGGGGAGGGTCAGAGAGAGAGGGAGTCACAGACTGAAACAGGCTCCAGGCTCTGAGCTGGCAGTCAGCACACAGCCTGACGCGGGGCACGAACCCACGAACCGCGAGATCATGACCTACGCGAAAGTCGGACGCTTAACCGACTAAGCCACCCAGGCGCCCCTTAACAAAATTTTTTTAATGTTTATTTTTGAGAGAGAGAGAGAGAGCTCAAGCATGTGGGAGAGGGGCAGAGAAGGAGGGAGACACAGAATCTGAAGCAGGCTCCAGGCCCTGAGCTGTCAGCACAGAGCCTGACGTGGGGCTCAAACTCACAAACTGTGAGATCATGACCTGAGCTGAAGTCGGACACTTAACCATCTGAGCCACCCAGATGCCCAAAATCTGTATGATGTTAATTTACATCTCTTTTAATGTGAGGTTGCCCATTTATATATGTATATGTCTTTGTATTTATTTTTCTGTGAACTGTTGGCCCACATGTCTTGACCATTTTCTGTAAGACTTTTATTTGAAACAAAATGTTCTTTTTAAAAATTTTATGTAGTCAGGGGCACCTGGGTGGCTCAGTTGGTTAAGCGTCTGACTTTAGCTCAGGTCATGATCTCATGGTTCATGAGTTTGAGCCCCACATCAGGCTCTGTACTGACAGCTCGGAGCCTGGAGCCTGCTTCAGATTTTGTGTCTCTTTTTCTCTCTGCTCCTCCCCCACTCATTCTCTGTCTCTCAAAAATGAATAAATATTTTTTAAAATTTAATAATAAATTTAAAATAATAAAAATTTTATGTAGTCAAATTTATTGGTGTTTACTCTTATCGCTTTTGGATTTTTGAGTCAAAGTTTTCCCCACTTCTAGGCTATAGAGGAATTTATCAGCTTCCCCTCCAGTGCTTTTATGATCTCATTTTTATATTATCTCTGATCCATTTGGATATTTTATATTGTATGGTAAAAGGACTAGATCCAGTCTTAATCTTTTTTCATATAGCTCTTCAGTTATCCCAACTCTACTTTTTTTTTTTTTTTAAGTTTATTTATTTTGAGAGAGAGAAAAAAAGGCAGAGAGAGGGGGAGAGAGAGAATTCCAAGCAGGCTCCTTGCTGTCAGTGCAGAGCCTGACGCAGGGCTAAATCCCACAAACTGTGACATCATGACCTGAGCTGAAATCCAGAGTTGGATGCTTAACCGACTAAACCACCCAAGTGCCCCTAAAGATTTTTAAAAATGTTTTGATGTGTATTCATTAAATTTTTTAAATTTTTATTTATTTTTGAGAGAAAGAGAGACAGTGTGTGAGCAGGGAAGGGGCAGAGAGAGGGAGACACAGAATCTAAAGCAGTCTCCAGGCTCTGAGCTGTAAGCACAGAGCTTGATTCAGGGCTCGAACCCATGAACCATGAGATCATGATCTGAGCTGAAGTTAGATGCTTAATCGACTGAGCCACCCAGGCACTGCCTAAAGATTTTATTTTTAAGTAATCTCTACACCCAATGTGGGGGGTTGAACTCACAACCCTGAGATCAAGAGTCACATATTTCTACTGAGCACTGGGCACTGAGCCAACCAGGTGCCCCCAAAATACCTGTTTCTGACACATAGGTAATGGGAATTTTCACCAATTGGATGGTAATATAGATGCTGAAATGTCCTCATCTATATATGACAGTCACCAGTAAAATCATCTTTAGGGATAAGTTATACTTTCTTAAACTTGTAAATTAATATTCCTCTCTTTTTAATAGGGCTAAACATAAGAAATGAATTTTAATGTTTGGAATATCAAAGAGATGCTCAGTATTCCCTCAGGTTCTGGGTAAGTTTTCTGGTTTTATACTCTGACACTTAATGAAAGTTTTATAGTTATACTGATTTCATTGAAAAAGGCTCCCTTTCCTATTAGTTTATTAGTAATAGGGTTACTTCATATAGCTTTTCCCCCTTCTTTTCCCTTCACTGCTACACTCTCCCATACTTGTCTTTTTCCTTTTGCCTAGTTTCTTTTCTTTTCTTTTTTTTAAAAAGCAGGTTCACACCCATCATGGAGCCCAGTGCAGGGCTTGAACTCATGACCCTGAGATCAAGACCTGAGCTGAGATTCAGAGTCAGATGCTTAACCAACTGAGCCACCCAGGCGCCCCTCCTCTTGCCTAAGTTCTGATGATAAAAGCAATGTCAATTTATCTATGTGTGTTGATTGAGCAGTGATTCTGTGTCCAGAACTGGACCTAGGGAATATGAGGCCTGTGAGAATTAGAAATGGCCTAACATCTAGAAACTCACCTCAGTTGGAGTGATTTCTATTGAAACGGCAAGGAGCAAAATCAAGACAATGGTTAGATATGTGTTCATTTGTATGGTTGTAGGTACTGTGGGGTTAAGAGCTACTCCAGCTGTTGATAAGGCTCACTGAAATACTGCCCCTTCTACTACTCAACTGAGGTACTTACATTGGTGTCCATCAGTCGTGCAGTGGGCCTGCCATTGCTAACTTGGTGGATGTGCCCCAGAAATAGTATATATTTAAGAGATTTCTAATTGTTTTTAGTATGCTTTTATTATTGGATAGTTTCTTTTCTTCCTAATACCTTATTGAAGACAGTTATTAATTCAGCATACCTAGAGCATTGTGCTTTTTATTTCTCAGAAAGAAAAAAAAATGCTTTCAGTTGATACAGAGTAGAGAAAAATCTATCTTTGTTAAATTCCCGATCACAGCTTTAAGATGTAAATCCTACATGATTTCTGTAAGCTTACAGGTTTTGGGTGTGTGTTTTTCTTTTTTTTAATCCAGCACAGCTAATTATTCTCTTTAACCTAAGAGGGGAGTCACAGAGAGCTATTTAAGCTATTTTGAGCAATGATTACGCAACCCATATTATAATATATGTGTGCATCCCATTACCTTAGCTAATCTTAGATAATCGTTCTATGAGTGAAAATAATTGCTCTTAAACAGAGAACTCTAGATGCTGGCGAGGATGTGGAGAAACGGGCACCCTCCCACACTGTTGGTGGAAATGTAAACTGGTACAGCTCCTCTGGAAAACAGTGGGAGGTTCCTCAGGAAACTAACAATAGAACTCCCCTATGACCCAGCAATAGCACTGCTAGGAATTTACCTGAGGGATACAGAAATGCTGAGGCATAGGAGCACATGTACCCCAATGTTCATAGCAGCACTCTCCACAATAGCTAAAACATGGAAAGAGCCTAAGTGTCCATCAATAGATGAATGGATCAAGAAGATGTGGTTTATCTATACCATGGAATACTACATGGCAATGAGAAACAATGAAATCTGGCCATGTGTAGCAACATGGATGGACCTTGAGGGTGTTATGCTGAGTGAAATAAGTCAGGCAGAGAAGGACAAATATCATATGTTTGCACATATAGGAGGATTAGGAGGAACTTGACGGAGGAACAAGGGGGAGAAGAAGGGCGGAAATGGTGGGGGAAAGGGAGAGAGGCAAACCATGAGAGACTCTTGAATGCTGACAAAAACTGAGGACTGATGGATATGGGGGGGAGAGGGTGATGGGCATGGAGGAGGACACTTGTGGGGATGAGCACTGAGTGTTATGTGGAAACTAATTTGACAATAAACTATTTGTAAAAAAAAAAAAAAAAATTAAAAAAAAAAAAGGAAAAGAATTGCTCTTTCCTGTGCTGAATTATTAGGTTCTTTTTGTCTTGCATTAATATATGATGGTCCCTTTGGCTTGGAATATGTACTTATATGCTATGTAATTACTTTAATTTAGCTTTTTTAAAAGGAATGATTTCTGTTTGTGTGTTTTAATGAAAAGCATGTTTTTTTAGCTTACACAGCAGCATTAAGTAACCCAAATTGTTATTGAGATCTTTTTTTTAATGTTTTGTTTATTTATTTTGAGAGGGAGAGAGAGAGAGTGCATGCACATGTGCACAAGTGGGGTAGGGGCAGAGAGAGAGGGAGAGAGAATCCCAAGCAGACTCTGGCTGCCAGCACAGAACTGGACTCAGGGTATGATCCCACAAACTGTGAGATTATAACCTGAGCCAAAAGCACAAGTTGGCCGCTCAACTGACTGAACCACCCAGCCACCCCCATATGTGAGGTTTAAATGTATATATCTATGGGAAGCAAGTTGGAAGTCCACAGCTGAAAGTACTTAAAGCAAGACTAAGACACTAACAGTGTGAAAGGGAACATCACCTTGTTTCAAAAACAATTTTTAATGGATTCTCCTATGCACAAATCTGAGTTGATCACATTCTTCAATTTGGATGAGGCCTGTATTAGTCTACTGGGCTACCATAACAAAATACCCTAAACTGGATGGTTTCAACAGTAGAAATTTATTTCCTCAGTTCTGGAGATTGGAAGTCCTAGAAGTGAATGCAAGCCAGATCATTTCTTATAAGGGCTCCCTTCCTGGTTTGCAGACAACTATCTTCTCTCTGTGTCCTTACATGGAGGAGAAAGAAAGAGAGAGGGCAGGGGTGTATGAGTGGCTCAGTTAGTCAAGAGTTCAATTCTTGGTTTTGACTCAGGTTATGATCTCACAGTTTGTGGGTTCCAGCCCTGCATGGGCTCTGCATGGTCATTAGGATTGGGATTCTCTCTCTCTGCCCCTCCCCTGCTCTCTCTCAAAAAACAAGTATATAAACTTTAAAAAAAAAAAAAGAGGGGTGCCTGGGTGATTCAGTCAGTTAAGTGTCCAACTTTGGCTCAGGTCATGATCTTACAGTTCATGGGTTCGAGCCCCACGTCAGGCTCTGCTGGCAGCTCGGAGCCTGAAGTCTCCTTCATCTTCTGTGTCTCTTCTGTCTGCCCCTTCCCTGATTGTGCTCTCTCTCTGTCTCTCAAACATAAATGAACATTAAAAAAATTTTTTTGTTAAAAGAGAGAGGGCAAACTTTGGTATCTCTTATTGTAAGACCTTAATTCCATCATGAAAGCCTGCCCCCATGACCTTGTCTAACCCTAATTGCCTCCCAAAGACCCCATTTCCAAATATTATCACCTTAGGAATTAGAACTTCAACATAATAATTTGGGAGGACACAGCATTCAGTCCATAACTAAGCTGTCTTGTGTTTTTTCTATTATGATTCCTACTCTACCTCTAATCCAGATCCCTTCCTTCCCTGTAGGCATAGTCTAGGAGAGTTAATGAGAGTTCTAATTCACCTTCTATAACACTCAGTTATATACTTGTTTGGTGTGCTATGATGTAGATTCTCTTTGTGATGAACAGATTCAACTTTTTTTAAGTTTATTTATTTATTTATTTATTTATTTTGAAAGAAAGAGAAAGAGAGAGAGAGAGAGAATGAATCCTAAGCAGGCTGTTCACTGTCAGCACGGAGCCCAACATGGGGCTTCACAAAATGCAAGATCATGGCCTGAGCCTAAGTCAAGAGTCGGATACTTAACCAACTGAGTCACCCAGGTGCCCAAATAGATTCAACTTCTTAAAAGATAATGTTCTTTTAACCCCTAAAGATTTCAGGAACTTTGATCTCCAAAATGGTGTTATAGCCCACAGTGCTGTTGTACCAAAAATAGTAGTGTCAGTCCTTAATGTTTGAATTTCCATCTGATTGTTCTCAAGTTACTGTAATCAAAATGTCTGACATTCAGAATTTCTTTGTGTTGCTTTATGTGTAGTACTGGCAGTATGCAGGGTTTTAGGAGATCAGAACAAATTAGTACTTTGCCTAAGGATATTCTGAAATGAATATGATTTCTGAACAAATTATGATTTCATTTGTTCAAGATGTTTGTCTACTTGCTATACTTTTCTTTTCTTGCTTAATCTTTCAGGACCACTAATTCCTCTAGCTGGAATAATAATCAGACTGATCACTCCAGTCTCAGTGATTCCCAATTCCTCTTTGGATCCCAGTTCTGTCCAGAAAGTTCAGAGACTCTGTCAGCACCCTTGGACTTTGGTGTCTACTTGAGACATCCTAAACAGTCACAACAGAATTCTCTGGACGTAAGTCTCATTTCCAAAGTTTCTCTGCACACGTTTCATAGTCATTATGGAGATAAGCTATAATGTTGGATTTTATTTTAGAATTTATACATCTCTAAAAATTACTCTCCTAAATGGATTTGTGCTTGATTGGTGGTGACTCAGTACTCTGTCTTGGGATCAGACTTGGTAATCTGAAATAGATAAAATATTTATATTTGCAGTTTCTTCTATTACTAAAGCAATATAGAATATTGCCAGTACTTTGACTCTCTTAGGAAAACCAAAAATGGCATGACGTTTTCTAAGGCATACTATTGTTTGTAAAATTTTCATAAGAAAGAAGAGCTTTAGAAAAATAGGAATAAATTAACATAAATTTTATTTTATATGGATATTTTTTCCTAAGAAACTTTAGATGCTTTTTTTAGTCTACTGTGCTATAGTAGTGTCGGTCCTTCATTTCCTTGAAGAAGGACATGAGGATTCTGAGGACTTGGTTAATGAATAAGGGCCAGAATCAAGAATAGAGTCTCTTGAGTCCTCGATTTTTTGAGACCAATCTGTCTTCTTTAGTGGGTCAGAAATAGTTTTACATATATATATATTTTTTTGGTTTAAAACTAGATTTAACTTTATATACGGACTTAACCTGCATCAAACAGAGACTCTAAGGATACGATTAAGTCAGCGTTTTAAGATAGTACAGTATGGGGGCACTTGGATGGCTAAGTCGGTTAAGCATCCGATTTCAGCTCAGGTCATGATTTCACGGTTTGTGGGTTCGAGCCCCACGTCAGGCTCTGTGCTGACAGCTAGCTCAGAGCCTGGAGCCTGTTTCAGATTCTGTAACTCTGTCTCTCTCTGACCCTTCCCTGCTCATGCTGTGTCTCTCTCTCTCTCTCTTTCTTAGAAATAAAATAAAAAAACATTAAAAAATGTTTAAGATAGTATGGTATGTTCTCAGATAAGTATTTCAGTACAAAAATTGGTACCCAGTGATATGAAGTAATAAATGTACTCCTTGAATGTTTCAGAGTAAGTTTTGCCTCAAATGCAGGAATTGGCTCACCACATGCCAGCATACTTACTGTCCATGTCAAACTTATCAAGTCTAGTTCAACAGTAATTGAGTTAAACCTATTAATATGAAAACTTTAACATATTTCAGAGACTGCATAAATAATTCAGTTATTGCTTTCAAGTTTGTACAACTGATTTTTTAAAAGTTTTTCAAAGTTTATTTATTTATTTATTTTGAGAGAGAGAAAGAGAGAGCAAGCAGAGGAGGGGCAGAGAGAGGGAGGGAGAGAGAGAATCCCCAACAGGTTCCACACTGTCAGCACAGAGCCTGATGCGTGGCTCGAACTCACAAACCATGAGATCATGACCTGAGCCGAAATCAAGAGCTGACCCTGAGAGTAAGAGTCATCTGCTCTACCTGATCAAGCCAGCCAGGCACACCAATTAGCTGATATTTTAAATATCTCTGTGTTGGTAAGCCATAAACCTTATTAATAAAAAAAAAGGTTCTTTAATAAGATTTTCTGATGTATATGAAATAAAAAGGAAATACATGCCATGTTGTTTTTTAGTGTTATTGTTTACACTTAAATGTGACTATGTTATGTAGAAATAGTGAATGCTATAAATATTTTTATGTATGAAATGCTGTGGTTTGTTTTGTTTTGTTTTTTCATTTAACAGAGTGAACCTAGTATTTTCACAAAATACCAAACAAAACCCCAGCTATTTGGAGGAAATACAAATGATAGAGGCTTATTTCCTCTTCCTTTGTCAGTTGGACAATCAAAGGGCCTCTTGGAACAGTTTGAGGAGAAAAAGAAAAGGGCAAAAGACAAATGTGACAGGTATGCAAACCTTTCGAGTGGATGTGACAGCTTCTTTTTTGAAGGAAACAGAAAATGGAATATTAATAGTCAAATAATTCTATTTGAGCATGTTAGCACACTTACCTTTATAGATCAGCTAATAATTACTCTTTATTTGCTTACTTGTCATTGTGACTTGTGGCAGATTTGAATATGGCTGCCACAGTTCTGGCCCCTCTGAAAGTACTTCTTTTTTTTTTTTTTTTCCTTTTTTTTTGAGACAGAGGGAGACAGAGCATGAGTTGGGGAGGGGCAGAGAGAGAGGGAGACACAGAGTCTGAAACAGGCTCCAGGCTCTGAGCTGTCAGCACAGAACCTGAGGCGGGGCTTGAACCCACAAACCGTGTGATCATGACCTGAGCCGAAATAGGACGCTTAATCAACTGAGCCACCCAGGTGCCCCAATGAGATCACTTTATTATTTTTTTAAATTTTTTATTTTTTACTGTTTTATTTATTTCTGAGAGAGAGAGACAGCGTGAGCAGGGGAGGGTCAGAGAGAGAAAGGGAAACACAGAATCTGAAACAGTCTCCAGGCTCTGAGCTGGCTGTCAGCACAGAGCCTGATGCAGGGCTCAAACCCACAAACCGTGAGATCATGACCTGAGCTGAAGTCGGACCCTTAACCGACTGAGCCACCTAGGCGCCCCGCAACAGAGATCACTTTAAAAAAAAATTTTTTTTCTGTAGCTAAAAAAAGGTTTTTTGAAATGTTAAGTTTCTCATGATATTTTCTTCCTTCCTTGCTCTCTCTCTTTTCCTATATCATTTCCTTTTTTTGTAGTGAAATGAGTTTCTGTTAACAGTTATTTACAAGACAGCAAAAATATACATAGCGTTTATATAGAGAGAACAAATGATGAGGACTCTGAAAAATCTCCATTAAAAAAATTAAGCTTAAGATATTGACTTATATGATAGGCAAAAAGAATCATAATTTTAATAAATTCTGGCAAAAATAAAACCCAAGATTCTAGATTTTAGATTTTTTTTTTTTTTTGTCAATAAGTACTTGTTAGAAATGTGGTAAGACCAAGGGATACAGGAGTGCTGATGCATAGGAGCACATGTACCCCAATGTTCATAGCAGCACTCTCAACAGTAGCCAAAACATGGAAAGGGCCTAAGTGTCCATCAAATGATGAATGGATCAAGAAGACGTGGTATATTTATACAATGGAATACTACATGGCAATGAGAAAGAATAAAATCTGGCCATTTGTAGCAAAATGGATGGAACTTGAGGGTGTTATGCTGAGTAAAATAAGTCAGGTAGAGAAGGACAGATACTATATGTTCGCACATATAGGTGGATTAGCAGGAACTTAACAGAGGACCATGAGGGAGAAGAAGAGGAAAAGAGGGAGAGGGAGGGAGGCAAACCATGAGAGACTCTTGAATGCTAAGAACAAACTGAGGCCTGATGGGGGTGGGTAGAGGGGAAGGGGGGTAATGGGCATGGGGGAGGGCACTTGCGGGGATGAGCACTGGATGTTATATGGAAACCAACTTGACAATAAGCAATTTAAGAAAAAAAAAAAAGAAATGTGGTAAGAATGGGGTATCTGGCTGACTTAGTCAGTAGAACATGCAACTTATGATCTCAAGGTCATGAGTTCAAGCCCTATGTTGGGTGTGGAGACTACTTAAAAAAATGTGGTGAGAAGGAGAGATAAATTTTTAAATGAGAGAAAGAAAGCATATCTCTGTTAATATGGAAGTAGGAAAGTGATAAGACATGGTGCAGGATTCAAACATAAGACATGCTACAAACTTACAAGACATGGATTTACATATTGTGTTTTGAAAGTACATATTTCCCCAAACTCATAGAAAAGGCTTTGAGGGAAAGAAATCTCAAAAGAAGACTAATCATTCAGACTGCATTTGTTATGATTCTTTTAAAAAATTTTTTTTAAATGTTTTTTATTTATTTCTGAGAGAGAGAGAGACAGCATGAGCAGGGGAGGTTCAGAGAGAGAGGGAGACAGAATCCGAAGCAGGCTCCAGGCTCAAGCCATTAGCACAGAGCCTGATGCGGCGCTCGAACTCACGAACCATGAGATCATGACCTGAGCTGAAGTCGGATGCTTAACCAACTGAGCCACCCAGGCGCCCCAAATTGCATTTGTTATGACTCTTTTGGTGACAAGTAAAAACTTACCTCAGACTAGCTCTGACAAAATGGAGGATATATTAACTCTTTTAACCAGTCTGGGAAGGACAGGGAATGAAATCAGAATGAATGAATGAAATCAGAATCTCTTTTCTGTGCTTCTCTGTCCATTTATACTTTGTTCTTTCTTGTAAAGACCAGCTTCCTACCAGCACAGAGAAAGGGACTCTTTTTCCATAGTTCGAATTTGAAAAATTCTAGTTGAGGCTTCTGGTAGGCTTGCTTAGGTCATAGGGGTGAAAGGAGAGAGGTGTGACTAGAAGTCCTCACCAGAACCACTTTCTGGGTGCAGAAAGAAACAGTTCCCTATCAAAGGAGGATTCTGGGTACACCACACAGTGGATGGCCATTACCCAGATTATTGTTTTTTGGCTGTAATATTTGAGAAAACAGATTAGTCTCATAACAAATGAACACCTAAGGACCACAAGTAGATTATAAAAATAACCATGTTCTTTCAATAATTGTTGATTACCATAGTGAAATTCATTCACTCATTCATTCATTCGTTCGTTCATTCGTTCATTAAATAAACACTGTTTTGTTGTACTACAAACTTATCTTTGAAGTTCTTACTCTGGTTAGGAAAACAGGCATTTGTTGGATACAACTAGACCAGAATTATTGGTTGTAAGCAGTAGAAATAAGTTCATTTCAATGGAAAAGGAATTCTTAAAGAGGATATTTGAGGGGCACCTGGGTGTCTCAGTCGGTTGAGCGTCCAACTTTGGCTCAGGTCATGATCTCACAGTTCATGGGTTCGAGCCCCACATCGGGCTCTGTACTGACAGCCAGTTTAGAGCCCGGAGCCTACTTCCAATTCTGTGTCTCCCTCTCTCTCTGACCTCCCCTGCTCATGCTGTGTCTCTTTCTCTCTCTCAAAAATAAATAAAACATTAAAAAATTTTTAAAAAAACAAAAGCCTTAAAAAACACAATGTTTATATAACTCTGCTCTATTTTTATGTATTAAAAATATAAAAATGGTATCATTTCCTATGGACTGTTTTTCAACCTGCTTTTTAAATTTAATAATCTTTAATGATTATGTTTATTTCATCTACAAAATCATTTCTAATGGTTTCATTGTACTCTATCATATAGATCTTTCAAAGGATGTGTTTTAAATATTTAATACAGCATGAGAGAGTGCCAAGAATACATAATGGGGAAAGATTAATCTTTTCAACAAATGCTGTTGGAAAAACTGAATCCATATGCAAAAGAATGAAAAAGGACTTTTATCCTATACCATACCTAAAAATCAACTCAAAATGGATTAAAGACTTAAAGATAAGACTTGAAACTTAGAATTCCTAGAAGAAAAACATAGGTAAAAAGCTTTCTGACATTAGCTTTCTGAACGATTTCCTGAGTATGACACCAGAAGCACAATCATCAAAACCAAACATAGACAAGTGGGATTACATCAAACTAAAAAGTTTCTACACAGCAAAGGAAACAGTCAGCAAAATGAAAAGGCAGCTTACAGAATGGTAGAAAATATGTGCAAACCATATATCTGATAAAGGGTTAATAAATATATAAGGAACTCCTACAGCTCAATAGTGTAAAAACAAGTAGCCCAAATTAGAAGATGGGCAAAGGAACTGAATATACACGTATGTAAAGAAGACATACTAATGGCCAACAGGTGTATGAAAAGGTGCTCAATATCACTAGTCACCAGGGAAGTGCAAATTGAAACCACAATGAAATATCATTTTACATCAGTCAGGTTGACAATTATAAACATATATATGTATGTATGTATGTATGTATGCATTGGCAAGGATGTGGTGAAAAGGGAACCTTTATATATTGATGGTGGGAATGTAAATTGGTGCAACCCCAATTTCTAAGTATATGTCCAAAGGAATTAAATCAGTATCTCAAAGAGATATCTGCACTGCCATATTCATTGCAGCATTAGTTACAATAGCAGAGATGGGAGTAACCTAAATGTCCATCAGTGAGTGAACAGATAAACAAAAAGTGGTAGATGGGGCACCTGAGTGGCTCAGTCAGTTAAGTGGCCAACTTCGTCTCAGGCCATGATCTCATGATTCGTGGGTTTGAGCCCCACATCAGGCTCTGTGCTGACAGCTCAGAGCCTGGAGCCTGTTTTGGATTCAGTGTTTTCCTCTCTCTCTTCCCCTCCCCAGATCGTGCTCTCTCTCTCTCTGTCTCAAAAATAAATGTGTTTTTTTTTTTAAATAACTGATCAGAGAGAAATTTTCTCTCTCTCTTTAAAAAAGAAAAATAAAAAGTGGTATATACATATAATGGAATAGTCTTCAGCCTTAAAAAAGAAAATTCTGTCACTTGTGACAACATGGATGAACCTGGAGGATGTTATGTTAAGTCAGACGCAGAAGGACAAATACAGTTGACCTTTGCACAACACAGGTGTGAACTGTGCAGGTCTGCTTGTATGCAAACTTTTTATATTACAGTATTGTAAATATTTTCTCTTATGATTTTTTTCTCTTGTGATTTTCTTAACATTTCTTTTCTTTAGCTTACTTTATTGTAAGAATATATTATATAGTATGTATAACATGCAAAATATGTGTTAAGCAACTATTTATGTTATTGGTAAGCTATAATAGTAGGCTACTATGTTTTGGGGAAAATCATAAGTTATATGCAGATTTTCAACTATGTGGGGATCAGCTCCCCTAACCCCTGCATTGTTCAAGGGCCAACTGTACTGTATGATACCGCTTATATGAGAAATGTAAAATAGTCAGACTCAAAGAAGCATAGTGTAGAATGGTGGCTGCTGGGGCTGGGGTATGGGG